GCCTAGGTATGTACATACATAATATGTACCTATATGTACATAATGTATGTATAACATAATCAAGGCAATAATAATACATTAATACACAATATAATAATACCAATCATTTTATGTTAACTATTTAAAAATCATCAAATACTGTACAAGATATACAGCTTTTGGTTGGTGTTGTTTGAAAGCTCTGGTTCTATTTCTGGTTATTTACTTACATTTACTTTTTAGCTGTTGCCTATCAAATTTGTATCTCTACCAAAAATTATGGAATTTGAAAAAGCAAAAATCACCAGTAAATCCAGATGAAGAGGAGGAAATGCTGCCACTTTGAGGCAAATTTTAGTAACAATTAAACTGCCCTTTGGGTCAACAAATGGCAATCTTTCACTTGATTTGCATTACAAAGATAAATCTCTACAAATTTTAAAGTTATACAAATTAAATTTTTTGTGGATTAAGGTGGAAATTATTTAAGTGATGATTTAATATTTTATTAAATTATAAAAAAAACCCATTAAAATCAGTCGATAGTAGAGAGAATTACATGCACTCTGCTATCAATCTAAACTTGATCCAATTTGCTATTTTGTTTGTACAGTGAGAAACTAGAATACTCCTCATCAACAGTTATCACCCAGTTACATTCAAAACACGTCAAGTATTAATTCTACATAGAATAATTTTACAAATTGACATTAATATTTAATAAATTTATTCTAACCAATCAATTTGATATTTATTTCTGTCTCCTGTTTGCTTTAACGTTCTCTGAATTAGAATGGGGCCTTGAAACGCTAAAGTAAATAAAGCCATTGTTAATTTCCCTTTGGTTTGATTGTGTATGATGTTATTGTTAAATAGACATTGGAGTCAGTGACTTGGTTGTTTTTTTTTTATTTAGCAAGTTCTGTATATAATACTACCAGGAATGCAAGCACTATGCAGATGGTTTAACGTCTATACAGTTGTGAAACGTGGGGACATATACGTCGCTGTTTATATAACTCCTTAGGTAGCAATTTGTTGCTATGGTAAGTAAACTTTCCTGAAACATTTTTAATGTTGTAGAGGTCCTTTTTTTATTTAGTTATTTATATTAATGTTTGCGGTATAGATTTAACCATTATCCATAAAACATTGTGATTATTATAACTATCATTGTTGGGTGATGGACTGGATTAATTACCTACCTGTAAAGGTGGTACTGCTTGGCATACAAGTTTAAGTTTATATAACTCCTTAGGTAGCAATTTGTTGCTATGGTAAGTAAACTTTCCTGAAACATTTTTAATGTTGTAGAGGTCCTGATTTTTTTTTATTTAGTTATTTATATTAATGTTTGTGGTATAGATTTAACCATTATCCATAAAACATTGTGATTATTATAACTATCATTGTTGGGTGATGGACTGGATTAATTACCTACCTGTAAAGGTGGTACTGCTTGG